TTTATTTTTATTAAAAATGGTCGCCATATAAACATCTAAGCAAATGCAAACGTTGATTTTCTGACTCCACACAGAAATAACCTTTCCAAAAAATTCCCACAAAAGTATAAAGTGAACTGGAATATGCAGCCTCTCCCAGGGACACTCTTTGTTTACTCAGTTCACACTCGAACTGCACTGAGAGACGCTGTGTGTTTGTGCACCTGTGTGCGCGTGCGCGTGTGCGTGTGTGCGTGTGTGTGTGTGTGTGTCCTGGTTTAGACTTGGTTTAGACTAAACCAGGACTAAACCAGGACTAAAGCAGGACTAAACCAGGACTAAAGCAAACAACATGCCACTAACACAGGGGTGGGCAAACTTTTTGGCTCGGGGGCCACATAGGTTCTAAAATTTGACTGAAGGGCCGGACAGAAGACGGGACATGACGTGTTCAGAGCCCGGCTCCATTGCACTTGTATTTACTCTCATGTAGGACGTATTCTGCACTACGCGCTGCAACTTTTAGTCATGTAAGTTTCAGAACTCATGAAAAGTGAAATGAGGCCTGCCCCACTGTACAACAAAGACAAACATGTGACCCCGAGCACTTAGACAGAGCGCGTAGACGACACATACACCATGCTAACGCGCAGTTCAACCAAACCTTCAGGAGTTTCTAATACAGTGAGCATGAATTTAATGACTTTGTTAAACACAGATTTAAAGCGGAAACAGTGCAGCCTTATGTCTTGAACACTTTTACCTCATTCATGGTCCGAATACACCGCCTGAAATGACTCCTGTCAATACTTTCCCATAAAGCATTGCGGCCAACAGAAGCCGCCGCACCTCAATGTATATATAGTGCGCCGTCTACTGGGAAACGCCGGAAATGCAGGAAAAATATAACAGCAGTACGGTTTATTTATTATAATTTGGTCAAGTTCTGTGGGTCAGTTTGAACGGCTGCATAAGGTCACCGGGCACTAAATAACTGGATACAGTATTGCTGCTTGTAGCTGCCTCCAGTTGACGTAGTGTCACTCACTGGAACTTCAGCAGAAAAAATCCCATGGGCCGAGACAAGATTTTTCTCATAGAGGCAATGTGATCACAAACTGCTCGTGTTCGTCTGACAGGTCATCTACCGCTTTCAAAAATATCGGATTTGTTGGCGATTTTTACCTATTTTTAGATCATAAACTTTTTCTCAGCTCAAAATCCTTCAGTTGTCTTAAAAAAACAGTTTATATTCGTTAGCTTCGGCTCCGCTCTGCTCCGCTTTAGCTCCTCTCGCTCTGATTGGTCAAAGCGATCACATGACACACGAGCCGCGCACCGTGCGTGCGGTCGCGTGCATTCGCGTGTGCCCGCGGGAGAAAAGAGCAGTAGTGCGCATGCTCGGTCGGCCCACAGCCGCCGGAAGTACCTAGCCATGCTAGGCTAATCTGGGATCATGCGCCATTGTGCTCTGCACAGTAATTTGAATGGGCGGGGCTATATTGGAATATGTTGGGCTTGGCACAGGCTCGTACCGGCCGCTTATTAGCAATATCACAATTACATCCTGACTGAACTACGTATTAAGAGGTAACAGGTGATACACACGACACCGTCAAACAGGAGTTGTTGCAGCACCTTTCCTCTGAATGTCATGTTTCTACAGACAACATAGAAAAGCAGACAGGTGCAGTCTTATTTCTTTAACACTTCTACCTCATTCATGGTCCGAATACGCTGCCTGAAAATGACTCCTGTCAATACTTTCCCATAAAGCATTGCGGTCCAACAGAAGCCGCCGCACCTCAATGTATATATAGTGCGCCGTCTACTGGGAAACGCCGGAAATGCAGGAAAAATAAAACATTAACAAGGTTTATTATTATTATTTATTCAAGTTCGGCGGGCCGGATTAAAAGGTTTAAAGGGCCGCATATGGCCCCCGGGCCGTAGTTTGCCCATCCCTGCACTAACAGTAGGTGGACATATTTTAAGGCAGCAGTGATCTCATGTAGAAATCATTTCTCTATCAATAATATTTTTAATTTGGTTCAGGAAAGTCTGAGCTTGTTATTTTCTTTTAAAGATTCTAGTCTTTGCTACTTTACAACAAACAATCACCTGTTCATGGAGACTTGGGCTCAGCCAATTTGAGGAAAACAAACAAGAATTTTGAGGATGTGGCACATTCATGTAGTTTTAAAAAAACATGACAATATCAAGTAATCCAAAGTATTCAGATTACGTTACTCACTTTAAGTAATTTAACACTTTTAAGTAAATTCAGGACTAAATTTGCACTAAACTTGGACTAAATCAGGACTAAACGTGGACTAAACCAGGACTAGGCGCCTGTGCACCTGCCCTGGTGTTGGTCCTGAAGTGTCCTCAGATGTGGTCATGGAGAAGGTCTCTCCTGTCCTTCAGGAGCTGGTCCCTGCGGTGAGGGACATGTACAAATGTTTGCCCCCATCCATCACCAAGGGCTGCTTCAATGAGCTGAGCGAGACCCTGACCAAACAAATAACCAGTAACATGGCTGTAGCTGAAAGCCGGCCCAAGTTTAGGAAGGGTGTCCAGGCTCAGGTGTGGGCCTTTCTGGACCACATGTCGCACTGGGTGCAGATGCAGATCGGTCCAGAGGGCTTTGGGAAGGATTCACAGACTGGTTTTAAGAATGTCCAGTCCACACCAGACCACCTCAAACCTCCAGCTCATATATGAGGAACCAGCCCACCTCCCTCCTCAAGCCCAGCCACAGCTGCATGGGCCATTCTCCTCCTCAGTCCACCAACCAGGACCATAGACTAACAGCAGAAGTGTCGCTCTACATTGAGCCTTCTCAGGCCCCTGTGGAGCGTGTGGTGCCCACAGAGAGAGCGGAGAAACAGAGTGTCTGCTCCAGTAATAATAATACATCTTTATTTGTAAAGCACTTAAAAACAAGGTTTATTTACTTAAAAACAAGGTTTATTTACTTAAAAACAAGGTTTACAAAATGCTGTACAAGCAGCAAAGAACAATTCAGAAAGCATAAAAATAGCTCACAGAAATGATACGAAAACAGATAATGACGCAAACAATCCAATAAATTATAATAAACGAATAAAAAGAAATAGAATTAAATCACGGTAAAACCAGTTAAAGGAACGCCAAACTATAAAAATTTGTCTTAAGAAGTGATTTAAAAGTAAGACTCGTGTGGTGAAAGATGCTTAAATCCATCTCCTCCCTTAAGTTTCTGTGGCTCATGTTCAGTCACCGAGGCCTTAAAGGAATTTGGCGACTGTGACCGACCAGTTTGTAAAGTTTTAACATAGAATAGTTTATATTCTGAGAACAAATGACAGATTTATTCTCTGCCAGGCGTTTTTTGTGAACACTTGTGAGTAAAAACAACCAAATATTTTATCGGAAGTGCCTTTTGTTTAGACGGTGCCACGCGCACCATCTGAAATGACAACATCATCGAATTCTAGAATGTGAACACAACTTATGCTACGTTTACACTGAAATGTTTCACCGTATCAGAAACGATCAGCGTCCAGACACTGGTGACGCTGACTGGACTGTGTGTGTTTTATGCTTCTTATTCTACTTGTCTCAGCTGGTAGAGCCACTGATCTGAGGGTTAGAGTGGAGGAAGAAAACTTTCAGAAATATTTGTGAGCACAGAATAGAAATCCGTGCATATTTGTCTGTATTTGTGCATAAAATAAATATTCGTAAACTTTCCAATGAGTCCAGTCGTACATAAAATATATTGTGTGTTTTTTATCCATCAGAATAAGAATTGAAAAGACTAAACCAGGACTAAACCAGGTCTAAACCAGGACTAAACCAGGACTAAACCAGGACTAAACCAGGACTGAACCAGGACTAAACCAGGACTAACCAGGACTGAACCAGGACTAAACCAGGACTAAACCAGGACTGAACCAGGACTAAACCAGGACTAAACCAGGACTGAACCAGGACTAAACCAGGACTAAACCAGGACTAAACCAGGACTGAACCAGGACTAAACCAGGTCTAAACCAGATCTAAACCAGGACTAAACCAGGACTAAACCAGGACTAAACCAGGACTAAACCAGGACTAAACCAGGACTAAACCAGAACTAAACCAGGACTAAACCAGGTCTAAACCAGGACTAAACCAGATCTAAACCAGGACTAAACCAGGACTAAACCAGGACTGAACCAGGTCTAAACCAGATCTAAACCAGGACTGAACCAGGTCTAAACCAGGACTGAACCAGGACTGAACCAGGACTAAACCAGGACTGAACCAGGACTAAACCAGGACTAACCAGGACTGAACCAGGACTAAACCAGATCTAAACCAGGACTGAACCAGGTCTAAACCAGATCTAAACCAGGATTAACCAGGACTGAACCAGGACTAAACCAGGTCTAAACCAGGACTAAACCAGGACTAAACCAGGTCTAAACCAGGACTAAACCAGGTCTAAACCAGGACTAAAACCAGGACTAAACCAGGTCTAAACCAGATCTAAACCAGGATAAACCAGGACTAAACCAGGACTAAACCAGGTCTAAACCAGGACTAAACCAGGATCTAAACCAGGACTAAACCAGGACTAAACCAGGACTAAAACCAGGACTAAACCAGGTCTAAACCAGGACTAAACCAGGACTAACCAGGAGGACTAAACCCAGGACTAAACCAGATCTAAACCAGGTCTAAACCAGGACTAAACCAGGACTAAACCAGGTCTAAACCAGGACTAAACCAGGTCTAAACCAGATCTAAACCAGGACTAAACCAGGACTAAACCAGGACTAAACCAGGACTAAAACCAGGACTAAACCAGGACTAAACCAGGACTAAACCAGGACTAAACCAGGACTAAACCAGGACTAAACCAGGACTAAACCAGATCTAAACCAGGACTAAACCAGGACCAGGACTAACCCAGGACTAAATCAGGTCTAAACTTGGACTAAACCAGGACTAAACCAGGACTGAACCAGGACTAAACCAGGACTGAAAACCAAGACTAAACCAAGACTAAACCAGGACTAAACCAGGACTAAAACTTCTTTACGTCTCCACTCTTCTTCGCGGGACTTTTCACTGTGACTCTGAGCTGGAAAATCTTCCTTTTCGTCTTCGCTGCTCCACGGTCTTGGAATTTTAAAGATTGTACAGATAAATGTTCATAATATAATAATATAATAATCATCTGGTGTCACTTGATAAGTTTAAGAAAAGTAAAAAAAAAAAAAAAACAACATGAAATTATGATTTTAAAAAAAAGAACTCTTCAAAGGTTTGCTCCTCTTTGTTTGTCTTCAGCTCGAGCTGCAACAAAAAAAAACGCACACAGAATTATTTTTGTGTTTTTGTTTTAATTTGAACTTTAAAGCTGCAACTTTTCTGACGGAAGATCTGCTACGTGTTTATCTCCACGAAAATGTGATTTCTTTGTCTCGATCAGGAGTGGGCCGTGATTTTTGTCCACGGGGCCACACGAGAAACAGAAAATATTGTGGAGCCAAAATGTTTAACTCAATTCTGCAGAATATTATAACTTCTTAGGTTCTTTTTAAAGACAACGCAGTAAAGTGTGTTTACCTTGTTGACATGTTTCTGCTGCTGCATCTTCAGAACTGTTCCCGGTGTTGGTGGTGACGTGTCGTTACTTCCTGTAGGTGTTTCTCTGGAGGAGGTGTGTGAAAGGAGGAACGCTCCGTCATCACGGTTAATCCCGTCCGTGCCTCGTTTCCTGATTTCACCGTCCTCCCTGATCCAGCGTTTGAACTTGTTGTTTTCCGATCCAATGACCCGAGCTCCGTCCCGATCCATAATGTGGTTGTTCCTTTTACAGTGTCTGATGTGGCGGATTTTAGGTTTTCCTGTTCTGCTTTGTCTTTTTGTGTTCTGGTGAGTCTCCCTGACGTTTCCTTCTCGCATTCCTTTTTTCGGATGTGAAATGCCCGGCCCGTTTCCCCTACGTGTGATTTATTGCATGATTTGCGTTGGATTTCGTAGATGGTGTTGCATTTTTGTTCTTGTGGGATTTTGTCCTTGGGGTGTACGAGCTGTTTTGTGTCTGGTTTTACTCCAGTGCTTATGTTGTGTTTTTTCATGGTTCTCTGGATGTGTTCGGTTATGCCTCTGATGTTCGGTAGTGTGACTATGTTCTTGTCCTGCTGCCCTGTGTTGGTTTGTTGGTTTTATTGATAACTTGTTGTCTGCCTTTGTTTATGGCCCAGCTGGGATATTGACATTGTTTGAGTGTTTGTATGATGTGTCTCTCCTCTTCCTCCCTGTCGGTCTGTGATGAGTGTGGCCCGTTCGAATAATGTTCTTACTACTGAAAGTTTGTGTGCAGTGGGATGTTCGGATGTCCAGAGCAGATATTGGTCGGTGTGTGTGGGTTTCCGGTATACTGGTATTTTAACGCTGCCGCCTGCGATGTGGTGGATTTTAAAGGTTGTATGGAGGATTTTTTTTGTTTCAAATTGTCAGTGATAGATTATAGATGCAGTCGCCTTGTAATTATGATGACCAAAAAAAAGAGAATAAAAATTCATCAACTCTGGACGTGGTGGGGCTAAACATTTGCCAATAGATAACGACACTGCCTCGTTATCTGTGAGCTGACAGGCTGTCAATCAAACTCCCTACGTTTCTAGTGTAACTGACTTGTCTGCGCCGCCGTTACGTGGTTTACGTACGACTGTCATGCAGTCCACAGACGCAAGACGCACAGACGCTGTTTACTCCACCAACACAACAGTTCTTAGCGGCTTTTTTTTTGACCTATATCTTCCTCACAGTTCGCACAAAGTTTGTTGCAATGGCGACAAGAATCCAGGAGCAGTTCGCCGCAAAAGAAAGTCCGTTTTTGAGGTCGCTGAAAGAAGAAAAGGGGAAAAGCAGCGAAGCCAAACTAAGGTGATTCTTGAAGATTCATTCCAGCGATGGCGCGACTGAAGCAGACGAAGGGTCTAAAGACTGACGCACTGGTCCACAAATTACTCCTGGACAGGAAACTTCTGCTTATTATGAAAACGTACTTTATTTCCAAGAGCTGGACAAACGTTTTTCAGGACACGAAAGCGATATCCTATGTCTGAAAACGTCATTTTCAAGGCAAAGAAAGAGTCCGCTTGCTGCTGCGTGTTGTAGCTAGTTCATTCGCACGGAATCTCCGCGCAACCTTCTCTGCTCCCCTTTCCTGCTCCTCTCCTCTCTCCCTGCTCCGCTCTTCTCGTCCGCGAACGAAATGTCCGCACACCCGCTCCCCCCGCTCCTCACTTCTCCGTCTTGCTTAACCAACACTGTAGTTAGTTGTTTACAAGTCATGTGCAGCGGCTGTAAACAAACCTGTTTCTGGCGTAAGGAGGAGGAGGGAGGAGGTGTTTCTACGTAGGAGCTGTAGGGGAGGGGGGGGGGTTTCACGCATGCGCAACATTTGAAAAAGGACAAACAGTCGCTGGATTTCTCGTTCCTTGGAAAATCCTCTATACAACATTTAATGTCCAGAAAAGATATGGCTCCGTCTTTCTCCTCCTCGCGTGTGAATTGAATGTTTCCTGTGTCGTCTTGTGTGTGGAGATGGTCCGTGAGTTCTTGCGTGTGTCCTTGCTGTATTTTTTCTAGGATGTCATCTACGTAGCGTTTCCAAAATGTTAAAGGTTGTATGGAGGATTTTTTGTTTGTTTCAAATTGTCAATGAAAGTTTAAAATACCATTACAGAGATGCAACAGCTTTGTAATTATGATGACCAAAAAAAAAGAAAGAAAATCTATCAACTGTGGACGTGTTGAGGCCAGATAAACATCAGCCAATAGAAAACGAGGCTGCCTCATTTTCTATTGGCTGTCAGGTTGTTCAATCAAACTCCCTACGTTTCTAAGGTAACTATGCAGCGGGTCTTAGAGGCTTTTTCTAATTGTGGCTCTCACGCAGTTCGCATAAAGTTTGTTGCGATGTCGGACGAGAATCCACGACCAGTTCGCCGCAAAAGAAAGTCGGTTTTTGAGGTCGCTGAAAGACGAAGAGAAAGGAGAAAAGGAGCGAAGACAAACTGAGGTGATTCTTGGAGATTCCTTTCAGTGACTGCGCGACTGAAGCAGACAAAGGGTCTAAAAACTGAGGTGTCGGTCTCTAAATTATTTCTAGCGGGAGCTGTGGAGGAGGAAGGTGGTGTCACGCATGCACGACATTTGAAAAAGGACTGTCGCTGGATTTCTCTTTCCTTAAAAAAATCCTCTATACAACCTTTAAGTGTCAGTCTGATGGATCTGCAGGTCCATCAGGTCTGACCACGCCTACAGGAAGTAACAACAGCTGATATACGACACGTCACCACCAACACCGGGAACAGTTCTGAAGATGCAGCAGCAGAAACATGTCAACAAGGTAAACACACTTTACTGCATTGTCTTTAAAAAGAACCTAAGAAGTTAAAGTATATAAGAAGACAAAATGAACATCATTGGCTTAACCTGCAGAATATTAGTTGTATTTCTTTACAAAAATCAATAAATATCATTGTGGTGACGAGCTGCTCAGACTGGGAAGAGTTTATATTCTGATTAAGCAAAGAAAAAGTGAAGCTGCTGAACAAAAAATGTCATAAAAAAAAAAAAAAAAACACTTCTAAAATAAAAGTAATGCAGCTTTAGTCCAGGCATGAGCTAAAATGATAAAATATGTTTATTTTGTGATTCTAAATGATCTTTAACGGGCCGATCACGTCTGTTTTAGAATGTTCCACAGTGTAGATCAAACCTACACTGCAAAAAGTAATGTCTGTGTAAGTGGAATAAGTGTGTTTTTCTTAATTCAAGCAACATTTGATTTAGTTTCTTAATTTAAGTGCAAAGAGTTACTGTTTTTCAGATCTTAACTGTAGTAAGATGTATTTTCATATTTTAAGTTCAAAAAGTCTTGTTCCATTCGCAGATCATTTTACTTCACGTGGAATTTACTCAAATCAAGACGAAACTTTCTTAATTCAAGTCTTGACTAGATTTTGGTTTTTGCATCTATGTTCTGCACTCACACCTGCAGAACTGAACTGATGACATCATCACACGGCGCCGTTTGTTTACATGATGTGAGTCCTGCTGCGATACTCTCTCCCCGTGAGTTTATAATCATTATTTATAAAAACAGCGCAGAGGAGTGAGGACAGATGGAGAATGTGTCTCTGTCACAGTCCTTATTTACGGTTTATTCACTGTTTTCCTCGTATGAGTGACATTAGTGCACCTGACAGGACTCGCACAGTGAAGACATGCACGTGCAAGTACATGCACAACCATGCCGTGTGTGTGTGTGTGCACGTACATGCACAACCATGCCGTGTGTGTGTGTGTGTGCACGTACATGCACAACCATGCCATGTGTGTGTGTGAGCCAAGTCTGAATACAGCTCCAATGAGCAGCTTCAGTAACAGTGTGTCTGTAAAGGGCATGTTGTAACGGCATGTTGTAACGGCATGTCTGTAAAGGGCATGTTGTAACAGCATTTTGTAACGGCGTGTCTGTAAAGGGCATGTTGTAACGGCATTTTGTACGGCATGTTTGTAAAGGGCATTGTTGTAACGGCGTGTGTTGTAACGGCGTGTTGTAAGGGCATGTTGTAACGGCATGTCAGTAAAGGGTGTGTTGTAACGGCATGTTGGTAACAACGTGTTGTGTAACGGCATGTTGTAATGGCATGTTAGTAATGGTGTGTTGTAACGGCGTGTTGTAAAGGGTGTGTTGTAACGGCATGTTGTAACGTGGTAACAACGTGTTGTAACGGCATGTTGTAATGGCATGTTGTAATGGTGTGTTGTAACGGCATGTTGGCAACAACGTGTTGTAACGGCGTGGTTGTAACGGCGTGTTGTAATGGCATGTTAGTAATGGTGTGTTGTAACGGCGTGTCTGTAAAGGGTGTGTTGTAACGGCATGTTGTAACGGCATGTTGGTAACAACGTGTTGTAACGGCGTGGTTGTAACGCATGTTGTAATGGCGTGTCTGTAAAGGTGTGTCTGTAAAGGGTGTGTTTTAACGACATGTTGTAACGGCGTGTAACGGCGTGTGTTAACGGTAACGGCGTGTCGGTAACGTAACGGCGTGTCCGTAACGGGTGTGTTGTAACAGCGTGTTGGTAAAGGGTGTGTTGTAACGGTGTGTCCATAAAGGGCATGTCGGTAACGGCGTGTGCTGTAACGGCGTGTGCTGTAACGGCGTGTGCTGTAACGGCGTGTTGTAACGGCGTGTTGGTAACGCTGATGTAACGATAATAAGTCATTAGTTAGATTACTTGTTACTGAAAAAAGTGACACTGTTAGTAACAGCGTTTTATTTTAACACTGTTATTCCCGTCACTGATCAGCACTACGCTACGTTACAGCTCAGATCTGTGGAGATCTGACCCCCATTCACTCAAGAAATGATGGTGTTTTTTAGCAACAGAAACACCCGTACTGAAAAAATCACGATGGATATGTTTAAAGTCATACCATGGAACATTCCAGGGAAAGCAATAACATCTCCATGCACTGCAAAAGAACCACACACGTAAATCGATCAGAAAATGACGTCAAAGTCGTGAAATGACATGTCCATGCAGCAAAATCATTTTACTGGACAATTTCTCTTCAAATAAACGAGCTCCAGACGAGAATGAAGCGTCTGAGAACGAGTGAGTAGAGAATAAACCTGAAAACAAAACGAATAACCTGAAAGTTTTAAAGTGTTGGCCAGATCAGATCTGCGGAGACAAGCAGGTAGAGGACCCTCCACCGGAAAAGTTGCTCAGCGCGGCTTTAACGTGTGTCCGTACCTTTGCGGAGTTTGTGGCAGATGCAGAAGGCGATGCAGAGGATGCAGGTGTAGAGGAGGAACAGGAGGCCGAAGCTCAGAAATGTGACAGTCGGGTGAAGGGGAGACCGGGTCGTGGTCGTGGTCTCGGTCGTCGACTCTAATGGAAAAAAAAAAGGACGGAGCGCTGAGGACGAGTCTCATTTCTCTTTCCTCGATTCCTCCTCCTCCAGTTTTTGATTTTGTGTTGAAATGAAAAATGGAAAAAACAGATAACGACCGTTTCCCGTTTACGTGACTTAAAGTGCGATGCTGGACTGAACCAGGACTGAGACCGGGACCAGACCAAGACTAGGACTAAGACCAGGACTGAGACCGGGATTGAGACTTCTCTTTTCTGGACTGCGATGCCGGACTGAACTGGGACTGAATCAGGACTGATCCCAGGACTAAAACATTACTACAACAGGACTAATCCAGGTCTAAACCAGGACTAAACCAGGTCCCGGTCTCCGTCCCAGTCTCAGTCCTGGTCTGGCCCTGGTCTCAGTCCCGGTCTTAGTCCCTGTTTTAGTCCTGGTTTAGTCCTGTTTTAGACCTGTTTTAGTCCTGGTTTAGACCTGTTTTAGTCCTGTTTTAGTTCCTGGTTTAGACCTGGTTCAGTCCTGGTTTAGTCCTGGTTTAGTTCTGGTTTAGTCTCGGTTTAGTCCTGGTTTAGTTCTGGTTTAGTCCTGGTTTAGTTCTGGTTTAGTCCTGGTTTAGTCCTGGTTTAGTTTGGTTTAGTTCCTGGTTTAGTCCTGGTTTAGTTCTGGTTTAGTCTCTGGTTCCTGGTTTAGTCCTGGTTTAGTTCCTGGTTTAGTCCTGGTTTAGTCCTGGTTTAGTCCTGGTTTAGTTCTGGTTTAGTCCTGGTTTTAGTCCTGGTTTAGTTCTGGTTTACTGGTTTAGTCCTGGTTTAGTCTGGTTTAGTCCTGGTTTAGTCCTGGTTTAGTCCTGGTTTAGTCCTACCTGGTTCCTGGTTTAGACCTGGTTTAGTTCCTGGTTTAGTCTCCTGGTTTAGACCTGGTTTAGTCCTGGTTTAGTCCTGGTTTAGTCCTGGTTCCTGGTTTAGTCCTGGTTTAGTCCTGGTTTAGTCCTGGTTTAGTCCTGGTTTAGTCCTGGTTCCCTGGTTTAGTCCTGGTTTAGTCCTGGTTTAGTCCTGGTTTAGTCCTGGTTTAGTCCTGGTTTAGTCCTGGTTCAGTCCTGGTTTAGGTCCTGGTTTAGTTCCTGGTTTAGTTCCTGGTTTAGACTTAATACGACACATTTGATTGACAGCTGAAAAACGGAGGTTTGAGGAAAGGAATCGAGGAAAGTTTATTCTGTGGATTTATTTTAGACCAGTTTTGTTTTTCCACCTTTTTACAATCCTGTTTATTCAATTATTACTTTATTTATACTTGTCTTTTTAAATTTTTATTTTATTTACACCATTTTCTCATCTTCTAACAAATAATAAAATAAAAACAAACTCTTCTTCTGACCGTGCTGTGTCCTGGTGGAGACTGTGAGCGGCACGTCTGCGGAGCGCCCTCTGCTGGTGTGGTGGACGCAGTGGTACAGGCCCTGCTCCTGGACAGTGACTCCGGGCAGACGCAGAATCGCGGGAGAGTTTTCCCCCAGTAACGTTCCGTTTCTATAGAAGCGACCGCTGAACTCTGCGCTGACCTTCGGCCCGTCTTTGTACAGACACACCAGAGAGACCGTCGCCCCCTGGAGGACGGGCCGCGCCGGGACGCTCAGGAGCACGGAGCCGGCTGCAGGATGAAAGGGAATCTGTGTGTCATTCGTTCATTCGTTTTTCAATAAAATCAAAAATAAGAAAATGAAAAAACAACAGTTTTCTTCATTATTTGTCTCCAAGACCAAAATGAAAAAACGATTCATTTTTTCAGTTTTCGATTTTGTGTTTAAATGAAGAATGGAAAAAACGGATAACGGCCGTTTCCCGTTTACGTGACTTCAGTGACTGAGATGCAGGACTTTTGCACCGCATACGGACTGAACCAGGACTGATCCAGGTCCGAGACCAGACCAGGACCAGACCGGGACCAGACCAGGACCAGACCAGGACCAGACCAGGACCAGACCAGGACTGAGACCGGGACCAGACCGGGACCAGACCGGGACCAGACCGGGACCGAGACCGGGACCAGACCGGGACCAGACCGACCGGGGACCAGACCGGGACCAGACCGGGACCAGACCAGGACCAGACCAGACCAGACTGAGACCGGGACCAGACCGGGACCAGACCGGGACCAGACCGGGACCGAGACCGGGACCAGACCGGGACCAGACCGGGACCAGACCGGGACCAGACCGGGACCAGACCAGGACCAGACCAGGACCAGACCGGAACTGAGAACAAGACCAGTGGTCCGAGTGGTTCCGTGTCATCGTCTGTGCGCTGGTTCCGTGTGGGGAAAGTGAGAATGTTCTGTGGACTACAGGTCCGGACGAGCTGCTCCGGTCCTCCACACTCAAGAACCACGACTGGTTCCAAGGTGAAACAAAACATCCGACTGACGCTTTCACACCAACGAAAACAAACCAAACTAAGAGTTTTTGGTTCAAATGGACCAGACCGGACCAGACCGGGACCAGTGTGGAGGCTCGGAGTCAAAGCTCGGAGCCCACCCTGGTCCCGCTCTGATCCCGGTCTGTCCCGGTCTGGTCCCGGCCCTGGATCAGTCCTGGTTCAGTCCGTACGCGGTGCCAAGTCCGGCATCGCAGTCACGGAAATCACGTCATAATCCGATTTTTTCCATTCTTCATTTAAACACAAAATCGAAAACTGAAAAAACGAATCATTATCTGTTTTTTCATTTTGGTTTTGGAGACAAATAATGAAGAAAACAGCTTTTTCGTTTTCTTATTTGTGGTTTTATTTTGAAAAACTAATGAACGAACGACACACAGATTAAAGGGAACAGATATTTCAGTGATGGATTCCAGCAGATTCTGAGTGTTTCGTCGTGTTCGAATGTTGTTGCCTCCTCAAAAACAGAGCTGCAGTTGTGTTTTGTTTCATTTATGTTCAGTGTAGAGGAGTAACAGATTACATGTACCAGAGTAATCAGAGTACAAATGATGAGTAACTGTATTCAGTTACAGTTACTGTTTCAGTGAGTGGTAATTGGATTACAGTTACTTTGTTGAAATAAATGGATTACACAGAGGGATTGAACTGTTGTCACATTTGGGGCAATATCTCTTTTTTTTTTTTTTTTTTCCTCTGTAATTCCACTCATTGCCGGACACTAAACCAGAACTAAACCAGGTCTAAACCAGGACTAAACCAGGTCTAAACCAGGTCTAAACCAGGTCTAAAGCAGGACTAAAGCAGGTCTAAAGCAGGACTAAAGCAGGACTAAAGCAGGTCTAAACCAGGTCTAAACCAGGACTAAACCAGGACTAAACTAAACCAGGTCTAAACCAGGACTAAACCAGGACTAAAAGGTCTAAAGCCAGGTCTAAAAGGAAAAGCAGGTCTACTAAACCAGGACTAAACCAGGTCTAAACCAGGACTAAACCAGGTCTAAACCAGGACTAAACCAGGACTAAACCAGGTCTAAAACCAGGACTAAACAAGGTCTAAAACCAGGAAAACCAGGTAAAGCAGGTCTAAACCAGGAAAACTAAACCAGGTCTAAACCAGGTCTAAACCAGGTCTAAACCAAAGCAGGACTAAAACCAGGTCTAAACCAGGACTAAAGCAGGACTAAAGCAGGACTAAAACCAGGACTAAACCAGGTCTAAACCAGGTCTAACCAGGACTAAAGGACTAAAACCAGGACTAAACCAGGTCTAAACCAGGAACTAAAACCAGGTCTAAACTACTAAACCAGGACTAAAAGCAGGTGTGACGGAGCCAGTCCGTCTATGATTTTCGGTGGTGTTTTTCTCTCTACACGTGCCCGCGGTCTGCAGTGACGTGCCCGCGCACACACGAGTTCACTCCCCGTTTCCCGCTGTTTCATTCATTTATATAATATATTATTATAATAATTCAATATTATCACCTTCCCCCTCTTTCCTCCGTGACTGATTCTCCGGGTTCACACTTGAGCGCGTTACACTAGTTTGTTTCATACTTGTGCGATGACGCCGTCTCTCCTCCTCCGCCGCGGCGCCTCTGTTAAACTGAGCCACTGTTTCCTGTTGGTTGAAATAGGCGCTGTTCGTGTCGTGCTGCTGACCACGTGACGCGCCTTATGTAATATGATTTTCCTCACGTTATTCAACTATTATTTTTGACATTTATTGTATATTATTACTGTGTGCTCAGCGTAGCATAGACAAGGTCGGTTTATGGTTAAATTGTTTGTCTCTATAATGATTTTGATGTGTTGCTCAGTGGGAGGAGTCAGGTGGTTTAAAGGGGAGCCGTTCCTGCTACATGTTACAGAGCAGGTAACGTCGGTGCGTTGAACAAAGACCTTAAAGCAGGGATTGGCAAACTACGGCCCGGGGGCCATATGCGGCCCTTTAAACCTTTTAATCCGGCCCGCCGAACTTGAATAAATAATAATAATAAACCTTGTTAATGTTTTATTTTTCCTGCATTTCCGGCGTTTCCCAGTAGACGGCGCACTATATATACATTGAGGTGCGGCGGCTTCTGTTGACCGCAAGGCTTTATGGGAAAATATTGACAGGAGTCATTTTCAGGCAGCGTATTCGGACCATGAATGAGGTAGAAGTGTTAAAGACATAAGGCTGCACTTATTCTGAAATAAGTGTAAAAATTAAACCTGTCTGCTTCACTATGTTGTTTGTAGAAACATGACATTCAGAGGAAAGGTGCTGCAGCAACTCTGTTTGACAGTGTCGTGTGCATCACCTGTTACGTCTTAATACTTAGTTCAGTCAGATGTAATTGTGATGTTTGCTAATAAGCGGCCGGTACGAGCCTGTGCCAAGCCCAACATATTCCAATATAGCCCCGCCCATTCAAATTACTGTGCAGAGCACAATGGCGCATGATCCCAGATTAGCCTAGCATGGCTAGGTACTTCCGGCGGCTGTGGGCCGACCGAGCATGCGCGCTACTGCTCTTTTCTCCCGTGGGCACACGCGAATGCACGCGACCGCACGCACGGTGAGCGGGCTCGTGTGTCATGTGATCGCTTTGACCAATCAGAGCGAGAGGAGCTAAAGCGGAGCAGAGCGGAGCCGAAGCTAACGAATATAAACTGTTTTTTTAAGACAACTGAAGGATTTTGAGCTGAGAAAGTTTATGATCTAAAAATAGGTAAAAAAAATCGCCAACAAATCCGATATTTTTTGAAAGCGGTAGATGACCTGTCAGACGAACACGAGCAGTTTGTGATTACATTGCCTCTATGAGAAAAATCTTGTCTCGGCCCATGGGATTTTTTCTGCTGAAGTTCCAGTGAGTCACTACGTCAACTGGAGGCAGCTACAAGCAGCAATACTGTATCCAGTTATTTAGTGCCCGGTGACCTTATGCAGCCATTCAAACTGACCCACAGAACTTGACCAAATTACAATAAATAAACCGTACTGCTGTTTTATCTTTCTTGCATTTCCGGCGTCTCCCGGTAGATGGCGCACTATATATACATTGAGGTGCGGCGGCTTCTGTTGGCCGCAATGCTTTATGGGAAAGTATTGACAGGAGTCATTTCAGGCGGTGTATTCGGACCATGAATGAGGTAAAAGTGTTCAAGACATAAGGCT